AATGCCCCCAGATCAGTTCCCTGCTGCCAGGAGGTGTCTGAAGGGCAGAGCTGAGCACACAGGGAGTGGGATGGGGCTCTCTTTCTGTAAGCAGTGACAGAGAGGACACTTGGGCACAGGCAAATGGTTCCCAGCAGAGACAGCTCCAGGCATCAGAGACATTGTCAGAGAGGGAGAGATGGAGAAGGTCCTAGAAAACTGGTGTGAGGGGAGACTTGGGCACCTCCTTGCCATGCCCTGCAGTGCAAGCCCCTTCCCCAGAGCAACTCCCTGGTCTCCTCCCCCACACTGCATTGCTTCCCACCCTCAGTGTCACAAGGACTTGGCCATCAGTTGCCTTCCCAGCTGCCTGACCAACAGAGAGGGAGGTGAGGATTCAGGTCACCAGCGCTATGGGTCCTGTCATGCACATTTCTCCATGGAGGGAAAGCAACAAAAGGAAGGTGCTTGCAGTACAGGAAGGGCTTGCACTCTAAAACTCCTCAGCTGTGGTGAGGCAACAAGAACTCTGTGCTATCAAGTGTGCATTAAAGCTGAGATCACCCTCTGTTCCTATTTGCCTATTGCTGTAGAGCAGGACTGAATCCACAGGGCCCACAGCAGAGCCCCCTCCTCCCAGTGGCATCCTCAGCCAGTACTGGCCAGAGCTCATGAAAAGAATTTACAAAGGGACTTTCTGAAAAAAAGGAGGATCTTTTTGAAGTTTCTGTAAGGTATTGAATGTATTTTGCTCAGGCAGATCTAGTCTAAACTACCAATGCTTTTTCCTGCTTGAACAGGTCCCCATGCCCAGGCAAAGAAAATGTTCAACAGCAGCTCTATCACTGAATTCCTCCTCCTGGCATTCGCAGACACACGAGAGCTGCAGCGCTTGCACTTTTGGCTCTTCCTCGGCATCTACCTGGCTGCCCTCCTGGGAAACGGCCTCATCATCACCACCATAGCCTGCGACCACCGCCTCCACACCCCCATGTATTTCTTCCTATTAAACCTCTCCCTTGTTGACCTGGGATCCATCTCCGCCACTATCCCCAAAGCCATGGCCAATTCCCTCTGGGACACAAGGGTCATCTTCTACCAAGGATGTGCTGCCCAGCTCTTTTTCTTTTTCTTTTTTATGTCAGCAGAGTATTTTCTTCTCAATGTCATGGCCTATGACCGCTATGTTGCCATCTGCAAACCCCTGCACTATGGGACCCTGCTGAGCAGCAGAGCTTGTGTCCACATGGCAGCAGCTGCCTGGGGCTGCGGGTTCCTCAATTCTCTGGTGCACACGGTCAATACATTTTCACTCCCCCTCTGCAAGGGCAATGCCATGGACCAGTTCTTCTGTGAAATCCCCCAGATCCTCAAGCTCTCCTGCTCAGATGCCTACCTCAGGGAGGCTGGCTTTATTCTGCCTGGTGTCTTTATTGCATTTGGGTGTTTTGTTTTCATTGTGCTGTCCTATGTGCAGATCTTCAGGGCTGTGCTGAGGATCCCCTCTCAGCAGGGACGGCACAAAGCCTTTTCCACGTGCCTCCCTCACCTGGTCGTGGTCTCCCTCTTTGTCAGCACTGGATTGTTCGCCTACCTGAAGCCTGCCTCCATCTCTTCCCCATCCCTGGATCTGGTGGTGTCAGTTTTGTACTCGGTGGTGCCTCCAGCAGTGAACCCACTCATCTACAGCATGAGGAACCAGGAGCTCAAGGAGGCCCTATGGAAACTGGCCCAATGGACGCTGTTTCACTGACAATAACCTGTCTCTTATTCTCTGCACATTTCCTGGAGTGTAGATTTGGCCACAAGCCTGCATGTTTCTTTGGTGATAATCCTGCTTATATATAATTTTCTTGGTTTCTACTCCTTCTGTTGCGTTTGATCCTCTTGTGTCTGACCTATGCACAACACCCTGTAACATGTGGCTCGTCAGATAACAGAGGGCATCAAAGGTGCCAAAGAGAGGGTCCTGGTCTTTGCCATCTTCAAGGACACCCATGGAAGCTGCCCTAGGAAAATCGTCCCAGATCAGTCCCCCACACTGGCCATTTCCATCTCTGGCCACACAACTCAGCCCTGAGGAGGGAACTTTGCTGCAGTTATCACCCCCATCCTCCTCTGGGGCTCATTGATACCCAACTCCACTGTCATCATTAATAAAAAGGGAACCAGTTTCGTACTGACCCTCATTACACACCAGGTCCCATAGCTGTTGCCACAGTTGGTCTCTCAGCCAAGCCCATTCTCAGACAGCTCCAGCTGAATCAGGCCCTTGTAGCTTTGACATGACAAGTATTGCAATTTTCCATTTGCTGAGGTCCTGAGACAGATGATTTTTTACAGCCGAAAGCACCCCATGCTCTGCAGAGATGTCATTTCCTTTCCTCTGGTCAGAAACTTCCTTATTCCAACCACTGACTACTGTCTATTGTTTTCCTGTCAAGGACTGTGGTGACAAGACTGGTTTCATCTTCCTCAAAACCTCCCCCTAGGGACTGGAAGGTCACCAGGAGGTTCCTAAGGCCTTTCCTCCTGCAGTTTGGACAAAGTCCTTTCCTTCAGTTTCTCCTCCCAGGGAAGCGCTCCAGCCCCTGAGCATCTCAATGACTCTCTTCCACTGAATTTGCTGCCAGTTATGAAAATCTTCCTTGCTGCAGTGGTTGTCTCTGGCCAATGGCTCAGCAACCCCACAGGTGCTCACTCCTCCCTCTCCTTCCCCAGAGGGGGCCAAAGAATTGACCCAGAAGTGTCCAGATGGTCTAATGAGGAATGAGAAATGCAAGACAATCACTGCCCTCACTCCTTTGGTGAGACTCCAGGACACTGCTGCCTGCCTTTGCTACCAGGTCTCCCTGATGGATCAGGTTTTGCTTTCTGAGTGGTGGTTGTCTCTGGCCAAGGGCCCAGCAGCCCCACAGGTGCTCATTCCCTCCTGCCTTTCACCAGTGGGGACTCAAAACTATTACCTTCCGTCCCCCAGCACCACCACGGCCTTTTCCACAGAGCTACTCCCCAGCGAGGCAGTCCCCAGGCCCTACCACTGCAGGGGGTTGGGCTATGCAAGGCGCAGGACCTGACAGGACAGGCCTTCTGCTGGTCAGGTTTCCCCTGAAGGGCAGCCCCAGGGCACAGGAATGCTCCTCCCAATTTAGTGCCAGAGACAAATGTGGTGGCAGTTTCCTCCTCCGGGTCATGGATACAGGCGTTCAACTGCACAGGAGAGTCCCCTTCAGCACTGCTCTCTCAGCCTCATCATCCCACCGCTATTTTACCCAGCTCAGGCCTCAGTGGCAGATGAAACTGTCCTAGCTAAGTGGACAAAGACCTTGGTCTTGTGTGGCCTTTCAGCCTTGCCAGAGCCCTTGACTGCAGGCTGTGCTACACTGTCTCATGCCTGCACCTCTTTCCTTTCAGGTTGTAGACACCCATCGTGCTTTCCCACCTGACTCTCACCCTGACATTTCTAGACCTTCCCTGATGTCTCTCCACCCATTGCTGGCTGTTCCTTGAAACACAAAGCCATGGGCTGATGCAGACTTCCTGTGGTCTATCTTCCACCACGAGGATACCCTCTGAGTGAGACTTCTTGTTCATCCCCTCCGGTCTGAACATTCCAAGCTGCACTTTGTGGAGGTTTCCCTGTCTTCCCACTGCCAAGAAAATATCCATCATCTCTGAAACCACCCTTCAGGGAGTTGCAAGATACTACCCTCGAGCCCCAAGCCTCTACCTACAAAGGTACTAAAGCCCCGGTCCCTCAACTTCTCCACACAGGCAACAAAACCCATCCTGGCACATCTCCTCTGGATCCTCTCCAGTTTCTCTACATTCCTCCAGACTGGGGACCCCACACACACAGACACACCAGTCCAGATGTGGCCACGCCAGTGCTGAGTCAAGGGGGATGAGAACTCCCTTGCTTGCTGGCCATGCTCCCCCTCATGCAGCCCAGTCTGCAGCTGCCCTTATTCATGGAGAGCATGCACCACTGGCTCATAGGGAATTCCTCTTGATGCCCAGCCCCTTCTCCTCAGGGTCGCTGTTCGTATCCCAGCCTGGCCTCATTTTTTTGATTATTCTTCCCCCAATACAGGATTGGTCGCTTATCCTTGTAAAACTTTGTGAGGTTTCTACTGGCCAAATCCCACTGTTTTTCAAGGTCCCCCTGGAGTGAAGCTCTGTTTGGACAGTTGTTAATGTGAGCGTACAGATGGCTCACCCTGGCACATGGTGCCTCTGTCAAGGTAATAGCATCAGGAATGACAGGACACTACTGATAATAGAAGGAGGTACTAGTTGAATGGAATTGCTGACCAAGGAAGGAATTCCCATGGTGACAAGCTGAGAAGCACCAAATGAGGTTACAAAAGAATCCAAATGAGAGCCAGGGAGGAAGGGGTAAATAGAGATGTGCTGTTTGCATGGGAGGGTACAAGGATGATCAAGGGGAATAGATGGTGAGTGGGCCAAAAAGGAAAAAGATAAGAAAAGGTGAAGACTAGGAAGTAATCAGGCCTGTCTTGTGATAACTTCCAAGTAGCCCTGCACCTGACCTACAATGCCTGCAATGACCAATTATCTGACCAACCTTTTTCTGACTGACTCAATGGTCAGTGAGAACCCGAGTAATTTCCCTCTCGTCATGTAGGCAAGATCCGTGGTAGATGGAAGCACAGAATCATTCATACTGGAAGAGAGTACAGGAGGTGTCTAGGCGAACCTCCTGCTCTCAGCAGGCTCAGCTATGGGGTTAGAGCAACTTGCTCAGGGGTTTGTTCACTTTGGGCTTGAAAAGCTGCAAGGATGGAGCTCTCTGGGAAATCCACAGCTGTGTTGTGCTGAGAATACTCCTGGTTTGCAGAATAAACTTGATTGTAAAGAGAAGTCTGCAGGAAGCTCCCACCTGGTACCTGTGATTAGGTCACGTGCATGTCCTTACCTATGTCTAAAACTGCCACAACCAATTCCCATGTGAACAGCCTTTTGTGGGGGCAGTGGAAATGATGACTGGAATATTTTCCTTCTAAGAAAACAGTGGAAAAGCTGACAGGAGCAAAGTGGGATAACCCCTCTACAGATGGGATCTGCAAGTCTTGCTGCACCAGGCTGACCATACAGAAATAGCTTCACCGTGACCTTCCAAGCCACATGCCTGCTGCTGGCCTTTCAGCTGCTCAGATAAACACAACCAAACCACGTGGCTGCTGCTCTCCCAGCAGGTACTCGGGCAGAAAGGACATGACCGCCATATCCAAGCCCTCTTCTTGGGAGGACCTACGAGGTACTTCGGGGAAAGGGATTCCCACAATCAACTTGACAACCAGGTGCCTTCTGCTGGCCTGTCAGTGACACTGGCAAGTGTGAGCCTAAAGCACATATCCCAGCCATGATTCAAGGGCTGAGGTGTCAGGTGCTTCAGGAAGGTGTGACCTCATAGTCCGTTTCCCAGCCTCCTGCGGGCCTACCACCCCCAGAGACAGATGTGCCCTCCCAGCCACTTTCACAGCCTTGTGTCCCTCTCAAGGCCATGAGATCCTGAGGCACAGCTGACTGCACTGTAGCGTCCCCGCCCATCTCCTCCTAATGGCCTGTGAGTTGATCAGATGCATGTAACCTCACATTCAGTTGTGAGACTGTTCTGGGATGTCACGATCCCTGCCCTGCCTTCAAGGGGACAAACATCTGAGGTTCGGGTTAGGAGAGGGGATGAAGATGAAGGGGTTAGGGCATGGAAAGGAGGGCTTTGGGGGTTAGGTGTTCAGGTTCGGGCGTAGGGAATAGAGCTCACCTGTCCACCTTAGGACTGGGAAAAGGCTTAGAGGGAGGGTGTGGTGTTCTGCTGAGGGTGTCTAGTTCATGTTTAGGGTCTGGGCTAGCTTTGTGGAGTTGGGTTTTGTTCAGGCCTGCGGTGAGGGTAGTATTTAAGGCATTTTAATAGTAGGGATAAGGGCTAGGGATTGGGGTGATCAATAGGGTAAGAGGAAGAGGGGTTATGGGTTCTGGCTTTGGGTTAGAGGTAAGGTCTGAAGTTAGGGATACCATACACAGGACATTTGTCTTGACACTGAACAAAGTGGTGGCCATTTTGAAATACATCCTGACGAAACCTCTGTGCTTGTGTATATTGGAGATGAGTGTGTTTGTATGAGACCCCCCTGTGATTTTATAGTCGTAGGCAATATCACTGTAGATATAAGCATCAATCAAATATCCACATCTGTAATTTTACTAAAATAAAGGGATGTCACGTTAACTCTTCAGCTCCTATCACACCTCATCAACTATCACAACTGAAATATAGACCTTATCAAAATTTGTTATCTACCCTCATTGAAATGAATTTATGTCTGTAAGAAAGCTGTTACAGCATGATGAAACAGCACCCATTGGATCAGATTCCATAGGTCATCCTTGATTTCCTTGTTCCTCATGCTGTAGATGAGGAGGTTCACTGCTGGAGGCACCACAGCTTACAGAACTGCCACCACCAGACCCAGCGATGAGGAGGAAATGGAGGGGGCCTTCAGGTAGGCAAACGTGACAGTGCTGATAAACAGGTAGACCACGGCCAAGTGAGGGAGGCATGTAGAAAAGACTGTACCGTCCCAGCTGTGAGGGCATCCTCAGCACAGCCCTGAAGATCTGCACATAGGACAGCACAATGAAAAGGAAGCACCCAAAGCCTAAACAGATGCTAACCACAAGAAGGCCAACTTCCCTGAGAGAAACATCTGAGCAGGAGAGCTTGAGGAT